ACTGCACCTTAAATTACCAAAATTACACGAAAAAAAAGTCGAGACACCATAATCTTCGCACTGTTAAAAAAAAAGTTGCCAGTGGAAAAAGCCCAATTTCTCTATAAGGGAACTGAAATGGTTAAAAATGTTGAAAAACCTGAAAGACGAGACAGGGAGTAAATGTGAGTGTTGAAAGAAAAAAAAAAACAACTAAAACAATAAAAAATGTGATGTCAATACGTTGAAATTTAAAATGCTTCATGCAAAATATATCTAAATTTAAAAAAAAAAAAACACGAAAAAAACTTGAAAAGACCCGAAACTCGACAAAAATAACTTAAAGCTTCTCTTTTCCCTATTGTTACTCTATCAAACAAGCAAAAGTCGTTCATGCATTAATGAATGCGCCTTTATTAATAAGATAAAACTCCCGATCATCCTCTTTTCTGAGGATACAGCTGTGGTTTCCGAACGAACTACCGTAAAAATAATTTGCTGAAATAATGCCAAAAATGTTTATTGGAATTAAAAATTTTTTTTAAGAAAGGCAAAAAGACGAACTCTTATGAGTTCACCATCGATAACAACCGAACGCTCTCGGAAATCCACTCCAATTGTAGCTTCTGTTTGTGCCGGAAACCTTCCATTGCAAAAACGAAAGCTGAGGCAAGTTTTTCCAACTCCAGCATCGCCCAATATTATTACCTGAACACAATGAACAAACATTAATCACTCGGCAACTAAACAGGGCTCATCTTTTGCTTACCCATCAAGACAGGTCATTTCGGTCTTCCAAGACGAGCTATTAATGCTCAAAAAACAGCACGTTGCTTTTTCAATTAATCATTGATATCCCTTCAAGAGACGAAACGAATGTCAGGATCGCTGGTAGGGTGTCCATCTCATAAAGCAGCACCGGCCAAAAAAAAAACTGGAAAAATGACCACCTGCATAATTAAGGAACCATTTTATAAACTGCAGCTAATTCATAAATCCAACTGGTTTTGGCAGTAGAAAATGACTGAACTCTTCGTGAAAATTTTAAACGATACTTTATGGACGTGTGAAATCTTACGTTAAATCTGGCTGTTTTTATAAGCAGATTGTAGCAATCAGGTCGGCCCTGGAAGTTTAAATGGCAAAGGCGCGGCAGATTACAATAAGAGCGAAGGAGATAAGAGTGAGATAAGACGTTTCGATCCGTTAATTCATATACGCCTTAACTCAACACCGCACGACAGGACCCTGTCAGTATGACAGTTGCAGTGCTTAATGGAAAAGAAAAAAAAGAGAGACAGAGTTGCCACTGATTTTTCTAAGACAAATGAAATGCAAATTTGATGGAACCTTAAAAACACGCTTTGTTCGATACGTTTTGCCAGGCTGATACGCATAAGTGACACGTGTGTCTTTTTTAGCAGTCGCCGTTTGTGCTGTTGTCGATTCTTTACTTGACGTAACAGCAGCAGGCGCTGTTGCTGTTGCTGTCTGAATTGTGGAGGAAGCTGCTGGATAGGGGACACGATGCTGAATAACATCTCCTGCAACATAATGGTGTTTTCAGGAAACACATATTGTAAAAAATTCAGATTTTAAAAATATATAGAAACAGTGGAACTTGATCTTTTTTAAAAATGGAGTATTGTGGATGAGGCAAGCTCAGAATAGAACTTGGTGGCATGGTTGTCAGCTCAGTCACTGAAGAAGATCGACAGCGCGTCAGTGGCGAAAACGCCGTATCATGTACATAGAAACATTAAATTTTTTTAATTTTACAAAAGTACTAGGACTGGTCAGGCTATCGCTGCAGCTGTGACCAAGATAGTGATGTTGCTGAGATGTTTTCACGCATTGGGCACAATTATGTCAAGCCTTTCGAACCTGAACTGCACACCTTCAGCTACTACCTACCGCCTGCTCGATATATGTGTGCAACGTCTTCGGGGGTCGTCCGAGTGGTCGTTTTCTTTCTCGCAAGACCCAGTAACTCTTCCGCGATGCTCACTGATGATCGGCAAGGGCAGGAACATGCTCTGCCTATCGGTTTTTACTTTTTTGACCGGCCGTAATGATATCCTGCACGCCGCTCACACACCAAATATATCCTTGGTTGTTTTTTATCGCTTTTCAGCTTACTTCTCAAGCAAAACCGTCCAGATCTTTTAAGATAACGACTCGGCCTTCTAGCGGCCGCCGTTTATATCACTGCCCTAAAGGAAGAAACATCGGCTGGTGATAAGCGAAACCTGCCAACGGAAAAGTACTGTCATCAGGGTCCCTTCCCCCTCTTCAGATTGCGTCTATTTTTTAAATCAGAATTGAAAAATGTAAAAAATTTTGAATTGAAACTCTTTTCCAATCTATCCCAACGAGGTTTCTTCAAAAAAATATTTAGGAAATTAAAAAAAAAATACTTCAAAGATGAGAAATTTGGATGCAACAGTTTATGTGAAAGGTACCACCTTTAGATTTTTTAGCCTCCGAATTCTGCGATATATCGAGTGTTGGGAACTGTAAATTGGGAAGTGGTGCTGGCGGTGTCAGTGTTGTAACAACAGTGTTGATTTTGGGTGTTGACATGATAACACTGGGTTGTGCTGCGCCAGAAAGTAGAACATTTGAGGTTACTGCTGCGCTTGTCGTCGTACTGTGTACTGGCACGCTCATTCCCTGAAACAAATGAGAATTTTTTAGAGATCTAAAAATTTTAGACACATAAAACTCACAAAAAATAGATTAACAGTAACATAAACATCAGCGGAGAGACAAATGTTAGGATTGCAACAAAGGCAAGTTGGGCGGACGGGGCTGAATCCGAAATATTTAAGCTTTACGTGGTGAACGGGGAATATCTCCTTGAACTTTCAGCTATAAGTTTCAACCACGTTCATCAAGCACAAGAGATATAAAACGAAATGAGCTAGTCATTTGACAAGAGAATGAGAGACAACAGATGAACGAAACGATATTAGAGCTGTACCAAAGATCAAGAAATACAACAAGAAGGCACAATGAACCGTCTCGATGACCCGTCGACGGGTACAACCATAAATGGCCAACGCACGGGCTGCCCGTGCGAAGATGCGTTTTTTGCAGAGTTCCCC